GGGACGGCATGGTGTGGCAACGTGGTGCAAGCATAAGGGTTTCGGGTTCAGGATTTAGGGTTTAGGTAGGGTTTAGGGTTTAGGGTTTGGGGTTTAGAGTTTAGGGTTTCGGGTTTAGGGTTTAGGGTTTAGGGTTTGGGGGGGTATAAACCCTACAAACCCTGAACCCTTTCCGGGTTAAGGAGGAGATGAGGGTTTGGGACGGTTTAAAGTGATTTTCCCATGCCCCAGGAGTATTTTTGAGTCACTGGACGTCTTCCCTGAAAGCCCGAAGCCAGTTGCCAGACAAATGGGTGTTCCTTTGGAGGTACGGACCATCAACCCCAAACACTAATTAATCAAACCCCAAACCCTAAACCCTTTTCCCTAGACCCTTATACCCTAAACTCTAAACCCTAAACCCTAAACCCTAAACCCTAAACCCTAAACCCTTTAAGTGCACCGGGCCCCTTTAAGTGCACCGGGCCCCCTCTTACAGGACCGGTTGGGCGTTTTTGTTTTCTAGTACCTTAAGAGGTCGGGTGTATTCGATGACCCCGCAGCGCACCTAACCTCGGATCTAGGCAGCTAGCCCTAAACCCTAAACCCTAAACCCTGAACCCCATGTGAGTCCGGAAGTCGAGGCGATAATCATACACCCCAAAGCCAGCATCCGAACGCCAAATCCTCCAAGCACTCCTCAGGCACCGACTGTGGGTGCGCTGCCAGGCAGCGCCCTGGTTCATCTTAGGTGGTTCGGGTTCAGGGTTCAGGGTTCAGGGTTCAGGGTTTAGGGTTTAGGGCTTAGGGCTTAGGGCTTAGGGCTTAGGGCTTAGGGCTTAGGGCTTAGGGCTTAGGGCTTAGGGCTTAGGGCTTGGGGCTTAGGGCTTAGGGTTTGTGAACCCTAAGCCCTAAACCCTAAACTCGGAGCCTAAATCCTAAGCCCTAAACCCTAACGCGAGCCGTGGCACTCCCGCTTAAACCCCCTCCCTCTCCATGTCCTTCCTTCGGGGTTTAGGGCTTAGGGTTTGCTTCCTGGTTATTCGTAGGGAACGAGGGAGGTAGCTTCAGGCTCCCTGAAATGGTAGATGTGGTACCTTTAGAAGGTACCTAATTCCTTCAACCCTACACCCTAAACCCCAAATCCCTAAACCCTAAGCCCAAATCCCTAAACCCTACTACGGGCCAGCAGGTTTGTGGTTTGGCGTTTCGATGAAGCCAGCAGCCTTCGGCGAACATGGTTTAGGACTTAGGGTTGAAGGTTTAGGGTCCAGGGCTAGCAGACTTAACAACCCTAAACCCTAAACCCTACACCCTACCCCCTAACCCTAAGCCCTAAACCCTAAACCCTAAACCCTTGAAGGTTGAACATGGGTTCGCTGCCCAGCCGGTGCTTTCACTTCTGACTCCGATTCAGGGTCCTCTTAACAGCCAACTTTTCCAACAGAACCCTTAAGCCTATGAACCATAATGGTTTAGGGTTGTAGGGTGTAGGTTTTAGTTATTAAAGGTTTAGGGCTTTAGGGTTTAGGGTTTTTGGAGGCCAATGGTTTGGGGTTTAAGTTTGGAGTATAAAGTTTAAGTTTCAAGTTTAACAGTCATAGTGACTAGTACTTAGTACTTGGTACATCATGAGTGACCAGGCATACCAGAAGAATGGTCGGAATACTGATCCTGAGGCACTGCGCGCAGGGCAGACGACCTCCACCCTACTTTGTGGTGCTTTACTGTAACTTTAGATCCTTAACCTTTTTGGGTTTACTGGGTTTCTTAGTGAGGCAGCTAAAAGTTTAACTTTTTACTACCCTCCTAAGTGCAGCCAAGAACCCTAATCCCGAAAACCCTAAACCCTAAACCCTTTGCCCTTTAACCCTAAACCCTTAAGCCCTTAAGCCCCCGAAGTGTGCAGGGGCTTCTCATTCTGCCGGCTATCCCTTCGGCGCCGCGACCTGTGTGGCCACGATGGTGGTTGCGCTGCAGGTGGCGTTCCACCCTAAACGCCAGGGTCTTGGGGCTTAGGGTTTAGGGTTTTGGGTTGTTAGGGAGTTTAGGGTTCAGGGGTTCAGCTTTAGGGTTCGGGGTTCAGGGTTCAGGATTTAGGGTTGATCTAAATGATCAAGCTTGAGTAGCCCTATGTGTATTCTAGTGGGCTCGACACCTAAACCCCAAGCTCTGCATGATCCCGTAAGCGAGAAGGGACCGAAGGAGGGACCCTTTCTAGGGACCTTAGGGGTTCTTTGGGGGTTACTTAGGGGCTACTAGGTATATAGGGACTATGTAAGGGTTATAAAGGCGTTATATAGGGGAAAAGGATTAAGGGTCCCTTCCAGGGGTCCCCTTCCAGGGGTCCCTCCTTATACTCCTTAACATAAGCCTAAACACCCGAAACTCTCATCCCTAGATACTCTGAACCTTCATCCTAAACCCTAAACCCTAAACCCTAAACCCTAAACACCCGAAACTCTCATCCCTAGATACTCTGAACCCTCATCTATGCATCGTGTTTTGGTTGGCCATACAGACGTGTAGACTCCGTAGACAGGCTCATGCTACTGCCTGGCTTCTTGTGAGCGCCTGAACTCTGAAAGCCTGAAGCCCCTCTCTGAACGCTAAATCTTCTAAGCCTTTCAGGTGAGGCGATACTGAACCCAAACCCTAAACCCTAGACCCCAGACCCTAAACCCTAAACCCTAAACCCCTAAACCCCAAACCCTAAACCCTAAACCCCTAACCCCTAAACCCTAGACCCTAAACCCTAAACCCCTAAAGCCCAAAACCGGCCCCTTGGGATCCGAAGCCGACGCCCCATCGCGCCAGGCTCGCTGGCAGCCAACGAAGACACGAAGAGGTGCGGGCAACCGAAACCTCCTAAACCCTAAACCATTGAAAACAAAAAAAGGGTTAGGGTGTAGGGTTTAGGGGTAACCCCAAACCCTAAACCCTAAGTTCTGGCTTCTGGGCTGAGGGTCCGTTTGTTTTTTCCCTCGAATAGGGGTAGCCCTTTTATCTGCCCAAAAGACAGAGAATGGTTTAGGGCTTAGGGTTTAGGATTTTCTTGACAAGGACGCCCCCCCCCCCCCCCCCCCCTTCCCGCCCCCCTCCCCAGTTTTGGGAAACGCCCCGTCAACATTCCTAAGCCCCTCAACGACCCCATCAACCTCCCCAACCTGCCGGGTTTAGGGTTTTGGAGTACTATACTTTCATACTTTTTTGGTTCTGGGTTCCTATTATTATTGCTACTTATACCTAAACCCTAAACCCTAAACCCTAAAAAGTATACACTTTTGTTTCAGGGTCTACTCCAAAGCAGGGAGGGGGATTTGGGTTGAGTGCTTGGGGTTAAGTCACCTCGGGCTCTTGACGACCCGAAACCTTAGATGCCCCACAGTGCCCCAAGCTGCACAAGCCCTACACCCCCCCCTAAACCCGAAACCCTAAACCCTAGAGTCCCAAACCCTAAACCCTCAACCCTAAACCCTAAACCCTCAACCCTCAACCCTCAACCCTAAACCCTAAACCCTGAACCCTAGATTCCCAAAACCCTACCACACCCCAAGCCTGCAAAGGCAATACCAAGCGACGCGCTTTCGAGGAGGAGCTTGGCGTTTGGCAGCCCAGCCGTGGTTTTTGCCTTTGTAAGTCTTATAAGGGTTCGAAGGGCGTTGAGGGTTGTACGGGGTTTTAATGGTTTCTAAGGGTTTTGAGGGTTTTGAGGGTTTAAGGGTTTAAGGGTTTTAAGGGTTTTAAGGGCTTTAAAGGTTTTAAGGGTGTTAAGGGCTTTACGGGCTTTAAGGGCTTTAAGGGTTTTAAGGGTTTTAAGGGGCGGCAACTACGTGCGCACTGTGGCACAGAGATTCCATCATGCATGCAAGGGAAAAGGAATTCCTTGCGGATGCAGAAGGTCCTGCACTGAAAAGCTGGGTGGAACTTGAGGGTATAGGTATAGCTCTGGCCCCAGATCTATCCCTCGGCCTGTTGATTTGCAGCCACACGCTGGATTCAACAGTTCTCCGTTGCAACGTCGCGCGAGTGAGCGCGGGGGGCATAGCTTTGCCATCAGCCTTTTGGGCTCAACTGTTGAAAGTAGCATCACTAGTCTCAGCAAGAGCGTCGCCGGGAGACTGTAGATTCAGCAGGCTTGTCGAGATGTGGATCAGCCCGGAGAACTCCCATACAGCTTACTGGGCAAAGGAACTGCGCAAAACGAGGCAGGTGCAGTACTCGCACTTCCTCATGCAAGCCTGGGACAGCTTGGACGCCGATGTTGCTGCTCAAATCGAGTATGCCCTTGACGTCCCCCCGAGCTCGAAGGCGAGAGACAGGCCACCAGTGGACAGGCTGTGGCATGCAGGCCCTGCCTGTCCCTTAGCTGAATGAGTACACCTTACACTTTTTTGGGGGCACTAGAATCCCCTAAGAGAACTGAAAGTGTGCACTGTGTTTTTTTTTTTTTTTGGGGGGGGGGGGGGGCTCATGAATCAACTCAGCAGCTAAGGTCCGCGTCCCGAGAAGCGGCTCAAAGTAGCCTGCGTTCTCAGGGCATTTGCCTGTTGGAAGCCCGAGGTCGGTTATCAGCCTGAGCTCGCATCTTACCGGACCTAGAATTGAACTTTATAAACTTCTGGGTTTCCTCAATTGAGCTTTATAAACTTTTGGGTGTCCTTATCTGTATGGGAGGAATAATGCAGTTTAACCCTTTTTTCCCCTTGGCAAGATTTGAACTTTAAACTTTTGGGTGTCCGTATTTATAAGAGGAGAAATAATGCAGTTTAACCTTTTTTCCTCTTGGTTCTTAGAGAAGTAAGGCATTGCTCGCTGCACACATCATGGCCGTAGTTGGAATGGAGCACTTGACTTTTCAAGCTTGGTGACCTTGTACCAGAAACTTAGTGGTAGAGTAGATAACCTTTAACCTTTTTGGGGGTACTGCATAATCCCTATAGAATCCCCGAGGTTAACCTTTAGTTTTCTAGGCTACGGGACAACTAAGGAGATATCATCTGCAAGACTATTTCCAGGGCATGGAGACAGAGGAAGCACTCCGGAGCGATGCAGCCAAGGTTTGGACTGCGGCGTGTTCGCTATATCCTGACTTGGCGTATGCGTTCAGCCGCTTTAAGCAGAGGGAGCTCTTCTTGTCCCTTAGTTGCAGAGTAGGTAACCTTTTAAGCTTTTTTTGGGGGGAATATAATTTAAGAGCCTGGTGGGGGAAAGACACGTTGGGGTTGAAGCCAAGCCCCCATCACTTCGCCCAGCAACCGGGAGGGGGGGGTAGGGGGGGGGGGGGGGGGGCGGGGTAAGGGGGGGGGGGGGGGGGGGTGGGGGGGGGGGGGGGGGCGGGTTGGGGGGAGGGTGGGGGGGGTTGGGGGCGGGCTGGGCCCTCCATGGAAAAGCTGCCCAGCTACCCCCCCTACCCCCCCCGTTTTGGGGGTAAGGAGGGAAAGAGGGAGGTTTTCACCTCCTTTTCCCATCCAACACGCCGCCAGGGTCGGCGGATCCCCTTGTAATCCCTAAGGATCAACCTTTTTGGGGCCCTTAAACTCCCAAAGGTTAATCTTTAGTTCCCCCAGGGTTACCCTAAACCCTAAACCCTAAACCCTAAACCCTAAACCCTAAACCCTAAACCCTAAACAACCCTAAACCCTAAACCCTAAACTTTAAACTTTTGGACAACTAAGGTCCACGGTGGCCGCGCTGCTGTCGACGCTGCTGTCTCACACCTACCATCCAGGCATGGGCTTCGAGCAGTACCCTGGTAGCCCAGTGGTACCCTTATCCTTTGTGGTGCTTTACTGTAACTTTAGATCCTTAGCCTTTTTGGATTTATTGGGTTTCTGAATAAGGCAGCTAAAAGTCTAATTTTTTACTACCCTCCTAAATGCAGCCAAGTTTCCCTTTTTTCTGGTGCAAGGTTTCCTTACAAATGTGCCCTAAACCCTAAACCCTAAACCCTAAACCCTAAACCCTAAACCCTAAACCCTAAACCCTAAACCCCAATTCTTACGGGGCCACGGAGGTACGTTCGGCTGCTGCACTGCTTGCTGTTTCCGGTCGGGGAGTATCTTAGTAGCTGAATGAGTACACTTTGCACTTTTTTTTTGGAGGGGGGGGGGTACTAGAGTCCCCAATGAAACTCAAAGTGTGCACTTTTGTGGGGGGGGGTGGGGTTTATGAACTCTCAACCCTAAACCCCAAACCCCAAACCCCAAACCCTAAACCCTAAACCCTAAACCCTAAACCCTAAACCCTAAACCCCAACTCAGCAACTAAGGTACGACCCCGAGGATCCTCGAGCTCAGCTTCGCCGACTGGTGCTGCTCGTCATGGCTCGGCATCAGAGACTCGGTGGACCCTTGGGACATTTTACATGTTCCCTTTATGGGGCCCTAAACCCTAAACCCTAAACCCTAAACCCTAAACCCTAAACCCTAAACCCTAAACCCTAAACCCTAAACCCTAAACCCTAAACCCTAAACCCTAACCCCAAACCCTAAACCCTAAACCCTAAACCCTAAACCCTAAACCCTAAACCCTAAACCCTAAACCCTAGTCAGGAACATCTTTCAGAGGGTTTCAAAAGGGCCATCCCAGGAGATGCTTCCGGGAATGCAACTGCGACAGGCTGATGGCCGTGGCAACTTGGTAGCCCAGTGGTACCCATTTCCCTTTTGTTGTGGTTCTGGGTGTAAGGGGTTTAGGGTTTAGGGTATAAAGTACCCAACCAAGAATTGGTGCCCTTATTGGAATATGGTTCCTGGGCTACTAAGGCAAAGAATTTTGGGCGTTGCATTCGCGTCGACAGTGTCTTGCTCGAGATGCTGAGTGACAAACACATGGGGGTTTTCGAACATAGCGGTGCCTCTAAGGGGATTCTATTCTATTTGGGGTCTAACAGGGGTACCCCTATTCTGGGAAATACCCACATGGTGCCTTACAGCCCCTTTTGGCCGTCGGCGCTCATGGCCAGCTTGGGCGACGTCGCCCGCGGAGCATTGGAGTCAGCACCTGGGTAGCCCAGGGGTACCCTTTTACCCTTTTTGTTAATTATTATAGGTTCCCTTAGTAGTAAAGTCCCCCCCCCCCCCCCCCCAAAAAAAATAAAGTGCCCTTACTATTATATGGTTACTGGGCTACACCCTAAACCCTAAACCCTAAACCCTAAACCCTAAACCCAAGGCACAGAGGAGTGTCGGGGAGGTGGCGCTCACGCTCAGGCCTTCGTCGCTTCAGAGTGACGGTTCAGATGTCTCAGGGGATGGGTCGGACTAGGGAGGTAAGATTAGGGTTTAGGGTTTAGGGTTTAGGGTTTAGGGTTTAGGGTTTAGGGTTTAGGGTTTAGGGTTTAGGGTTTAGGGTTTAGGGTTTAGGGGTCCATGTACCTCATAGTTAGATACGTGGGGCCCTCCTGTCCCTATATCAGAAGTACCTTCAGGCCCAGGTATTCCCCTATTTACGTACTTAATTCGGCGATCAGTATGATCACATGCCTCGGGCAATGTTGCCTTCGCCACCTTCGCCTGGGGCTTCAGGACAATTTTGATGCCGGGTCTGTGGGCGTGTGCAGGTCTTACACTGCAGCCCTTGCTCCCGAACTCCACCAACTCCGGCCCCGGGGGTTTTGCTTCGCGCATGGTGGCTTCAACACCACATCTTCTAGCAGTTGCTTCAGAGCCACCAAAAAGCAAAACATATTCTTCCTTATAAGATTGACAGAGGGATGTTTTTCTGTGGGCGTCTTAAGCAAATAGTAGTCTTGGGACCATGAATCGACGAAAGGCCGACAAGGTCCCTCTGGATGCGGCGCCCGGCCCATGTTTGTTCGTAGAAAGGGTTTAGGGATGTTTAGGGTTTAGGGTTTAGGGCTTAGGGTTTAGGAAAGCAAAACTACATTGCACGCCCCCCCATCCTAGTATCGAATGCCGAAATGCGCCCTGCTTTCTAGGGGACCTAGTTGTCAGCAATCTTTTCTGATCCAGCTCAAGCTGGATAGTCGAGGATGCGAGCAGACGCAAGCCTAACATCCCCGGCCCTAAACCCTAAAACCTAGAGCTTTCAAGGCACCTTCCACAACAATATCCTGCAGCGCTGCTCCTCACCTCGAGGCGAAGTATGAATGTACATATGGGTGGTTGTCAAAATTATGGTCCCTTTTTGGATCCCTAGTTTAATACGGCACCTAATATTTCGGGTACCCCAAAAGGGGTCTTAATTTTGACAGCCAACCCTAAACCCTAGACCCTATGACAGCTACCCATATGGATGTACAGGAACCCGGACGAAATTGAGCTTCGGTTTGCTGTTCCAAGCTCGGCAGTGCGGCACGGCCTGTGGTGATTTGAAAACTTGGGCCGAGACATGAGCTCTGTCAGTTCAGACCCTGTGCAGGTCCGGTTTAGGTTCAGGGTTTAGGGTTTAGGGTTTAAAGGGTTGTTCTGATTATTGACGTGCCTCTGCCCAACCACCACGTGCACGAAGTGCTTGCGCTCGGCTTTCATTTCTTTCCTTAGGTGTGATGTCCAGTTTCGTGCATCCGAACTTCGCTGAATCGGCCCACATGCAACCGACCAAGCATCGCTGCCGCCGGCAGTGACAGCTCTTGATGTCTTTGCAGGGCCACTTCCATGTGATGGTTTCAATGAGCTGGAATTTTTTTTTTTTTTTTTTTTGGGGGGGGGGTAGTTGTTGTTTCCTAGGAGGGTTTAGGGTTTTGGGTTTAGGGTGTATTGAGCCAAGGGCGGTTGATCTTGCCTACATGGTCAAGATTTCCAGCTCTGGCACATCAAGTGTGGCTCAATTAGACAGACGGAGAAGAACCGTGGCTTTAACTAAGTGTTTAGGGTTTAGGGTTTAGGGTTCAGGGTTGACCGACAGAGAAGAACATGCAGCTGACGATGCTGTCGCTCAAATATCATCCTGCTGGTGCAGACTGGCGCCCTACAGGTCCAGGACGGCTGCGCATGATTCAAGGGTTTAGGGTTTAGGGTTTAGGGAGCTCCCATGACATGGGAGCTCCCTACTAAGCTCCACATGGAGAGCCGCTCCTGGACCGCGGCGCAGAGTCTGCCCCCACAGCTTCACATGGATGTGCGACAGGGAGAGTTTGTTGCGATTGGGCAAAACCGTGGTTTGCAGACAAAACGTTGCCCGGCTAGGGTTCAGGGGGGGTTTAGGGTTTAGGGTTTACGGGTTTAGGGTTGAGGGTTGAGGGTTTAGGGTTTAGGGGTTTAGGATCTACGGCTCCCGCCCATTGGATTCGCTGGGTACGTCAACTCCTCGTCTTTGCCCTGTATAGGTTTGGGGCGGCTTCGGTTTGAACAACGTTTTGCATTTGCCCTGGACCACCCCAAACCTCAAATGGCAAAGCGTGACACACCCTAAACCCTACGAAGTCAGACCTCCTGAATCAAACCTAAGGCAAAAGCCTAAGAGACCACCCACATGACACTCGCATGTACGTAGCTTTATTGGGGGGTCGGCGGGGGTTTAGGGTTTAGGGTTTAGGGTTTAGGGTTTAGGGTGGGGGCTTTCATGCCAGAAAAGCCTAGAACTCCAGAACTTCGAGGGTAGTCGGGGGAGGGGTTTTCTGATAAACCCTCAAAAGTTAGTCTAAACCCCAAACCCTAAAACCCTAAAACCCTAAAACCCTAAACCCTAAACCCTAAACCCTAAGCCCTAAGCCCTAAGCCCTAAACCTTAGGTGCAGCCCCCGCTCGGCTACTTCGATCCACTTGGCCTCAGCAAGGATGGGGACTTCACTGAGCGCAGCGCTTAGCGCATTCCAGGCATTAGGGTTTAGGGTTAGGGTTTAGGGTTTAGGGTTTAGGGTTTAGGGTTTAGGGTTTGGGGCTTGGGGCTTGGGGCTTGGGGCTTGGGGCTTAGGGTTTAGGGTTTAGGGTTGCGGTGTAGAGTTTAGGGTCTAGGGTTCAGGGTGTAGGGTTCGTTCTTCATGGGCTGGTGATTCCAAAGTCCATGGCTCCAGATACAAGTTACTAGGTTCAATAGACAATAGAGTTCAGGAAGTTGAGGGGCAATGGCTTCAAAGGTGTACTATCTTCCCTAACCCGAAACCCGAAACCCCCCTAAACCATAATCTTTACACCCTTCACCCTGGGGTTTTTGGGCTGGAACCCAACACTTCGCTGGAGTTTGGCTCAGAAGGACCAGGCTTGTGATGCTCGGTGCTCAGGAAAGAATTTTCGATGCTGGGCGCCGGTCTAAGTGAAGCCCATTGAAACCCTCCATCCTAGACGCTAAACCTTAAACCCTGATCCCTAAACCCTGAGCCCTAAGCCCTAAACCCTAAACCCTGAACCCTAAACCCTAAACCCTGAACCCTAAACCCTAAACCCTGAGCCCTAAACCCTAAGCCCTAAACCCTGAACCCTAAACCCTTCTCCCAAGCTTCAGCAAAGCATCCTCCCAGTGACACCAAGCCCCGGCATGGAACCTTCCACACACTTTGGGGGGTTTAGGGGTTGTGGGCTCAGGGTTTAGGATTTCGGGTTTGGTAGGGTTCAGGGTTTAGGGTCTAGGGTTTAGGGTTTAGGGTGGTATGAACGCGCCTAAACCCCACACCCTAAAACACAGCTTCACCCGGAACCTTGATTGAGGGCACTGCGCAAAGTGCCCCTTAAGTTTGGGCAACCCCTCAACGCTTCGGGTTCAAGGAAGCTGTTCAGAACTTGGGGCCAGATGAACCCCAAAGATGGGATGTTCCGCCTTATACCCACTGTCCTTAATAGGGGTTATAGTAACCCCTGTTCTAATCCCTATTAATGCCTGTTAACATAACTTGGGGACCCAGTGGTACCCTTCTTCCTAACCCATAGAGCTTAAGGTCTGTTCGCATGGCCCCTGCAAATGCTTCATCAGGTTTGCTTACGTGCAGACCCTACATAAAATGGTTCGTTCTGTACAGCTTAATGAGGCAGCTAAAAGTTTAGTTTTTTACTACCCTCCTAAGTGCAGCCAAAAGTAGGGTGCATTCAGATTAACGACGGAGAGCCGAACTGCTTTCAGGTTCTATCGCCGGCGCGAAGCGGAGATCAAGAACGGCCGCGTGGCGATGTACGCCACCATAGGACCGATCCACCACCCGATGCCAATACCGTGGCTGTCACATCCGCAGGCAACATGGAAAGTTACCTCTTTAGGGTTTAAGGTTTAGGGTTTAGGGTTTAGGGTTTGTTCCATGATAATTGCCTATAGCCTCAAACTACGGTGCACTTGGGCCACTGTTATGGGCTGCTTCTTACGTCCTCACGCCCCAGAACTGCCCGGCTAAGATGTGTGGAAGGAAGTCAACCCGTGGCTTAGGGTTTATAAGGTTTAGGGCTTAGGAGCTAAACACCCCAACCTTAAACCCACGCGCTTGGCCGTGCAGGATATATCATCCCGGAGTACTTTCGCTGGCCTGGCTATCTGGCGCCAACAGAGGCGGTTCGTGTGTGGGGGCTTGGGAGCACCGTGGCTTTCGGATGTGCAGTTGGGTTTAATTAGGGTTTAGGGTTTAGGGTCTAGGGTTTAGGGTTGAGTGTGAGCACTCTGGCTTTCGGATGTGCAGTTGGGCGGTTGCGGGCTGTAGGGGCTTCGGGTTTGTTAGGGCATACTGGGGCTCAGTGAAGTTTTCATTCTGGCTTCTTAGGGTTCAGTAGGGCTTAGTATCGGGCTTCTCAGGGTTCGGTAGGGTTTAGTACAGGGCTTCTCAGGGTTCAGTAGGGCTTAGTACAGGGCTTCTCAGGGTTCAGTAGGGTTTAGTATAGGGCTTCTTAGGGTTCATTAGGGCTTATTGATATATATATATATATGTATGTATATATGTATATATATATATATATATCGGGGTGTAGGGTTTGCCGAAGCCGGCCCACAAGCCCTAAGCATCGAAGTTGCAAAGAAATGTTGGAGTGCCCGCAAGAGCAAGCGAAACGCTTGTGGATATCATGGGCTCTGTAATTCCACCTCAACCCCTCAGACTACTCCATATCGTTTCTAGTATGGAGCTTTGTGTTCTGGGTCTGGAGGTATGCAGTCAGTGTTCAGACGCAAAGGCCTTGCTTGGCACGATGCTGTCCCGGCAGTTGGGGCCTTCTTCACTGACGAATTTGGGTGTAGGGTTTAGGGTTTAGGCTTTAGGGAACACCCTACTGGCACCCATATTCCACATGTTTTGGGGGGTTAAGTGGTTGTTTACGAAACCACATGAAGCATAGCCTTTGGGAGACCTCGAGATCTGTGCTGGGCTGCAGGACATCACCTTTGCAGATGTGCCGAATGGCCTGCAGGCACTTGCCAAGGCGCCCTGCTTCAACTCCTTAAACCCTAAACCCCAATTCCTCAACCCTTAACCCTAAACCCTGAAGCTCTAAGTCCTCCCTAAGCACTACACCCCACACCCTAAATTCCTAAACCCTAAATCCAAAAATTAACTCCCTAAACCCTACACCCTTGCCCTTAACCCTAAACTAAACCCCCCCCAAAAAAAAAGCCTGTGCCCTAAATCCAGGATGCTGTGCTTTGGGACGTTGGGAACTCTTAGGTTCATTTTTGCTAGGGAGGGTTTAGGGTTCAGGGCGCAGGGTTTAGGGTGTAGGGGAGGGAGTTAGGAAAGTTGACGAGGTTGACGGGTTTGGGGCTCGGGTGTTGAGGCTTGCTATGGGGGTGAGGCGTGAGGGGGCGGGTGCAGGGGGGGCTAGGGTTTCGGGTTTAGGGTTTAGGATTTAGGGTTTAGGGTTTAGGGTTTAGGGTTTAGGGTTTAGGGTTTAGGGTTTAGGGGTTAGGGACGGGCTGTAGTCTACCAATTTGTTGGGTTCGGGTTTGCTTAAGGTCGTTGCTGAGGTGGATTGAGAGTTCAGGGTTTAGGGCACTAGGGCACACTGTGAGGTTTCTGTATAATATCGTCACTTCTCAGAATGATGGTCCCTTCTCGGGGTACCCTAAATACTCGGGGCCGCCTTATTGTAGCGACCCAAAGACGGGCCATAATTTCTTCGTAGCCCAGTGGTAACCTTTACCCTTTTTTTGGGTTCTCAGTTTCTTTTTTAAAGTAACAAACCAAAAAAAGTACACTTCTTTAGGGTTTAGGGTTCAGGGTCTAGGGTTTAGGATTACAAGATGGTTGCTGGGCTGCCAAGATTTGGAGAAGTTCAGCGCTTCCCTGCCGCCCGGTGCAGAAACTCTCTGCTTTTTGGACTTCCATCCTCGATGGAATGAAGAGCTCTGCCTGCGAGACGGACTTTGATGAGGCCTCTTATGGCAAGAGATCTGGAAGAGCATGGAATCCAGGCCCATGTTTGGAAGGGGAAATGGGTTTCTTCCTGAAAAGGCTGCCGGAGAAGTCCTAACCCTAAACCCTAAGCCCTAAACCCTAAACCCTAAACCCGAAACGTTGGGCTGGTATGGCTTGTGAAGCTTTCCCTTATAAGATGCCAGCGATCGGGGCGTTGGGAAGCTGGGAAGTGGGTCCTAAGCCCCTATAATCAGACTCTTCGGGTTTAGGGTTTAGGGTCTAGGGTTTAGGGTCTATAGGGTTTAGGGTCTATAGGGTTTAGGGTTATAGGGTTTAGGGTTCAGGGCTTAACGCCTGCACTGACTAGGAGAAAGGGCTAGTCTGGTCCTAGGCATTTAAGGTCTACGGCGCAGACAGAAGGGTTTTGGAAACCATCATTATTGGCTTTTTGAAGATGTAGGTTCCTTAAGCCAGTCCTTTGTGGTACTTTACTGTAGATCCTTAGCCCTTTTGGGTTACTGGGTTTCTGAATGAGGCAGCTAAAAGTTTAATCTTTACTGCCCTCCTAAGTGCAGCCAAGTTTGAAGATGTAGGTGCCTTAAGCCAGTCTGTGGGTCTGAAGTGAACCTATACCCGCGTGAGGTTCCCCCTGAAGGCTGGCTTCAAATCATCGCCCGCCCCTCAGGGATGCTAAGCACTCAGGGTTGAAGGTTTTAGGGTTTCGGGATTTAGGGTTTGAGGGTTTTAGGGTTTTGGGGTGTAGGGTATAGGGTTTTAGGGTTTTAGGGTTTTGGGGTGTAGGGTATAGGGTTTTAGGGTTTTAGGGTTTTGGGGTGTAGGGTATAGGGTTTTAGGTTTTTAGGGTTTTGGGGTGTAGGGTATAGGGTTTTGGGGTTTAGGGTTTTCGGGTGTAGGATTTAGGGTTTTGGGCTTCTAAGGGTTTCGGGGTTTAGGGCACATAAGGTGAGTAGGAGATTGTTGGCCAGTGTTCAGGGCAGCTGCCCCCATGGCCATGTGATTAAGGGCCTAGGCCTTTGCGTTTAACTTTGTGGTGCTTTACTGGAACGTTAGGTCCTTAGACTTTTTGGGTTTATTGGGTTTCTTAATAAGGCAGCTAAAAGTTCTTTTTTTACGACCCTCCTAAGTGCAGCCGTCTCGGTGTTGTGGTCCCGACAAGTTTCTGAGGTTGTGGGCGACGGGATGGTATCGACGCACCCCTTCACCCCTTCGCCTTCTTTGCAACTTCATCAACCAGATTGTATTGACCCGAAAGCCTAAACCCTAAACCTTAAACCCTAATGCTTGAACCCTGGTCTGGGGGATGCCAATCACAACACCCTGAATGCGAAACCCTAAGGCCCTTCATCAAAAGCCGAGTCGGCCCCAAACGCCGAGAAACCCCGTACACCCAAGTTGACCCCAACTCCCCAACTGGGTTTGGAGTACCATACTTCAATACTCTTTTTGGTTCTGTGTGCTTATTATAGCTACTCATACCCAAAAAAGTGTATGCTTTTTTCCAGGGTCTACTCCAAAGTAGGACCATATAATAACCCCTACAGTTATGACAGGTCCCTGATTGAGAAAGGGTCCCTGCTTCTGAGTCTGTGGTGAACTAAACCAGTCTACCCCAGCCCACCCACCCCCCAAACCCTAAACCCTAAACCCTAAACCCTAAACCCTAAACCCTAAACCCTAAACCCTAAACCCTAAACCCTAAACCCTAAACCCTAAACCCTATACCCATGACATCCTGGCAATGCCTGGCTTCAGGGGGGGCCAGAGCGAAGAGATGATCCCCTCAGCCTGCCCTCATCCTTGCACGTGTGAATGAGCCTCGGCCGTTTCGAATATTATCCTAAACCCTAAACCCTAAACCCTAAACCCTAAACCCTAAACCCTAAACCCTAAACCGATTATCCTGGTTTAGGGTTTAAAGGATTTAGGGTCTGCAGGGCTTCGTTAGGGTGATAAGTCTAACCCTGAACCCTATTCTGATTCAGACCCTAAGCCCTATTCTGATTCAGTAGGGCCCTTCTGTCCGTGCTTAGGTTGGGTTTAGGGGTTTGGGGTTTAGGGGAAGAGCATTGAAGAGTCCAGGGCATCGGAAGGCTTTCCGACTCTGACCCTAGAGTAGGATGGTCTGCCGGAAATCCCCGAAGCTCTAAGCCTTTTAAGTTCTAAGATTTCTTGCCTGAATCCTGAACACTAAACTGGTTCAGGGTTTAGGGTTTAGAGTTTAGGGTTTAGGGTTTAGAGTTTAGGGTTTTAAACCCTATACCCCAAAAACCTGTAGAATTTCCGACCCGGTTGGCCATGGCCTTGGCGGACTACTCCCTGGCCACCCTGCGCTTCGTCTACACGTCGAAGCTGCGTCGTGAGTCGCCGAGTCGCAACATGTTTCCGTGGGGGGGAGGGGGGGGGGTTTAGGGTTTAGGGTTGAGGGTTGAGGGTTGAGGGTTGAGGGTTGAGGGTTTTGGGATTCACGGTTGAGTTCAGGGTTTGAGGGTTTAGGATTAGTGCTTAGGGTAAACACTCGCACTCGCTTAGTGAGGGTCGTCTCCTTCGCCTGTTTGCTGGAAGCGAACCCTCCACCCCCTTTGTGGCGCTTTACTGCAATTTAGATCCTTAGTAGTAGAGTAGGTAACCTTTAACCTTTTTGGGTTAGTAGATTCCCCTTAGAATCCCAAAGGTTAACCTTTAAAACCCCTAGTTACTGGACAACTAAGGATCCTTAGCCTTTTTTGGGTTTATTGGGTTTCTTAATAAGGCAGCGAAAAGCTTCTTTTTACTACCCTCCTAAGTGCAGCCAAGCCAAACCCGGAGCCGCAACGCTCCATGAAGCTGCCCAAGGATCAGGGGTTTAGGTTTTAGGCTTTCAGATTTAGGGTTTGGGTTTAGGGTTTAGGGTTTAGGGTTTAGGGTTTAGGGTTTAGGGTTTGGGGTTTGGGGTTTGGGGTTTGGGGTTTAGGGTTTAGGGTTTAGGGTTTAGGGTTTAGGGCTATGCATAAGCCCTGGAAAGATGACATTTTAGGGTTCAAAGTCAGGGTTTTGGGCTCAGTGCTACAACCTTGGTAGCCCAGTGGTGCCATTTGCACTTTTTTTGGGTTTAGGGTTTAGGGTGTAGGGTTTAGGGTTTAGGGTTTAGGGTTTAAGGTTTAGGGTTTAGGGTTTAGGGTTACTATAAAGAAAACCAACCAACAAATAAGATTGTTCCTAGCAACACCTAACCATTGGATGTTCCCAGTCCTTAGTAGGGAGTATAGGGGGGCCTAAACCCTAAACCTTAAACCCAAAACCCTAAACTCTTGCCCAAGTAGGAACCACTTTGGGTTTAAGGTTTAGGGTTTAGGGTTTAGGGTTTAGGGTTTAGGGTAGGAACATCCCAAGACTTAACCTGTCCTAGTCCTAGTAGACTGTTCCACCTCCTCACCGGCAACCCGGAGCGCTCCATGTCTGGTCCGAACCCACCCTTCAATGGGTTTAGGGTTTAGGGTTTAGGGTTTAGGGTTTAGGGTTTTGGGTTTTGGGTTTTGGGTTTTGGGTTTAGGGTTTAGGGTTTAGGGTTTAGGGTTTATCGGGTTTAGGGTTCTTGGGTGGTGTGGGAGGGCGGAGAAAGAGGTTCACAACCCTAGGCCCTAAACCGGTGCAGGGTCACCAGTCTATTCCAGCGAAGGCTGCAGTTCAGCATCACCAACCTTCGAAAGACCCTCGAGTGGTCCAACGAGGCTGCTGTGTGTGAGGTTGCTGGGCTTAGGGTTTGGGTATTTGCGTGGTGTGGGTGGGTGTGTGTGTGGAGGGCAGACAGAGAGAGAGAGAGAGAGAGAGAGATAAAGAGAGAGAGAGAGAGAGCGAGACCGAGAGAGAGAGAGAGAGAGGGAAGGAGAGACAGAGCGAGAGAGAGAGAGAGCGAAAGATCGAGATGAAACTCGAACCCTCTGCACATACCGGGGCATAGCAGGAAGCTAGGACCCAGAGTAAGCCCTTGTTCCCTTTTTTAGGGTTGAGGTTCCCTTTTAAACACCTGTAAACCAGGGCACCCAATTTATTGATAGGTTCTATGTTACTCCTAAACCCTAAACCTTAAACCCTAAACCCTAAACCCTACACCCTGCACCCTAAACCCTAAACCCTAAACCCTAGGAAGTATATTTTTCGGCGCGCTTCCCTCCTGAGATCCGAACTCGCTATGGCAAGAAGCCATAGCGAAGCTGCACTCCTCAAAGGCCTTGCTTTGCTGCTGTAAACCCTAAACCCTAAAGCCTAAACCCTAAACCCTGAGTTCTAAACCCTAAGCCCCAAATAAACACAAGTTGCTGACTGGCTCTTCCTAGGGAATTCGTTGTCTTGGGCCGTGCAGGCTGCACTCTTGTCTTGGGCTGCACAAGCAGGCTTGTGCCTCATCTCCTTTATCACTCCAACCTTACGACCCTAGACCCTAGACCCTAAACCCTAAACCCTAAACCCTAAACCCGACGCTCTTTGAGGTGCGAGGCCCTGTGAGGTTCAAGGCCTTGTGAGGTTGAAAGAAGATGCTGCCATCGCACACCTTTCCATGGAAGTCCCAGAGGGTTTAGGGTTTAGGGTTTAGGGATCTAAACTGGCTGGTGGTTGGTAGGGCATGAGTTGATCTACAGGTCCTTTGTGGAAAGCGATTTAGGATTCCTGTGGGTTTGTCAGGAGAATGTGGGTTGATTTGGGAACAGTATCTTGATCAACTACCACATGGGCACGTGGCCGTGGCCTAGCGTTACCCTAAACCCTAAACCCTAAACCCTAAACTCAGGCCTATGTAGGGAAGGCATCTCCAGGCAAGCGGCCAAGGCCCAAGAACCTGGACTCTTGCCATAGGCAGTTTAGGGTTTAGGGTTTAGGGTTTAGGGTTTAGGGTTTAGGGTTTAGGGTGTAGGGTTGACGGCTTCAGAAGAGCTTAATCAAGCTACCAAGCGCACAGTGCAAGACCTATTGCGTCCAAAGCCCCAAGATCTGAATGCCCAAAGCCAAAGAAACACCCCAGTTTGGGGTTTAGTGTTTGCGGCCACAATTCCGAAACCTTAGCACACTCCACCTTGTAACAGGTAATTAGGACCTTGGCATATCTTGAAAGCATCTTATTAGGGGCTTCCGTAAAATTACCCCACCCCCTATTTTGAGACATGACCTTTTAGCAGCAACTTTTCAGAGGGCTTTTTGAAAATAGGCCAGCCTAGTGAGCCCTCAGCCCGAAGCTCTAAACCTTAAACCCGAACACAGACCTGGCCTATCCCGCAACGGCTGCCCCGGCGTGCCTGGAGAGTGACTCTTGGCAAGCCAGACGACGGATGTACAGTTTGCCGTAAGGCAATTTGGGCTTTAGGAACTTTCTGAGGTCTAGGCTCTAAACCCCTAAACCTCAACCCCCCCAAGTACCCTGTTAAGATGCTCAAAAAAGCCCTATATTCGGCCCTCTGAGAGTCTTGGGGGGGGGGGGGGGGGAGAGTTTAGGGTTTAGGGTTTAGGGTTTAGGGTTTGTAGGGTTAAGATTTCGAAGTTTTGCCTTGACGGTCTGCATTTTGGTTTGTCCCGCTTCTCGCCCCGAACCCCAGGGTTTCAAGCTTAGAAATGCGAGCTCTCAAAAATTGACAAAGAACTAGGACCCGGCGGAAACCCTCGTTCCCTTTTTAGGGGTCCGG